TTTTTTTAGCAAATATTTGCCAAAAATTGAAACTCAAATATAGCCAGAAGTTATAAAGAAGTCCTATAGAAGGAAGCAAGACAGAATCTCTTCTTTAGGATCACACATTTTTCGTACCAGTGTGTAAGGTAAGAAGTGTGGCTCATCACTGTGACCAAGGAGCGTTCATACTTTCTATCTCTTAAACTTTTCATATGGGTTTCATGCTTGCAATTATAGGTAAAAACAAATATCTATGCTATTTGTATTCGCCTTGAGATTGACCACCCTTTCAGGTCCCCATAGATCCTGAAAATTTTCTTTAATGCCACCCGTTTTGGGCTGTCTTAACCATACTAGCCTCACCTAGAATATTCCGTGATTTCCCTATTCCTGCTTCACCAGCTTGTCTCATCTGTTTGGCCAGAAGTCTTAGAAAGCGCATCCAGTTTAATTTCCTGCCTCAGCTACTTGTAAAGTGAAGCTTCCATGCTCAAACGTCAATCTATAGTATATATGTCAAAGTCTCACTTATTTGGTTAAGAGAGAGTTGGGTAAAATGGATTTTGATAAGTGATTAAATCATCCGAAGTCACGAAGGGTGATTAAGTGACCAAAGTCTTCCACAATAATCTGAATAGGCCACGCAATGCCAGTAAATTTAATTTAGTCGTGCTTCTAAAAAGGCTCTCATACCATGCTGGACTGTAGTTTCGACCACTCTCGGCACCTCAAACGGGATTCAAAATCGGGCCAAGCAAGACAAGTGGCAAGATGACACGTTATTACTAATCCATACAGTCATGCGTGATAGTCAGTTATAGGGCGGATACCACTTTAAGATAAACCAGGCCTCCCCCAAATCCCATTTATATTTGGACTGTCGATGAGATACACTCTATTTACCATTACTCTGAGTGATATTACTTGTTTTCTCAGCGAGTAGTTTACGAGGCTATCATTGCTCCTTGAATAAGAACTGGTGCCAGTCTAGCTCACTTATTTTTAATGTGAATGTCTTTAAAAACTATAATTAACTTTTAGATACGAACTTAGTTATTTTAAGATTGACACTAGAATTCTCCCACTATAATGCTCTCTTGACTTTGACTTAGTATTTCCCCCAAAATGGTTTTATCATCCAGGCTAGACTAAAGTTTTGGCCTCGTGATGGTATGCTTTATCGACACCAGGCGCATAGTTGGTGCAATTTGAGAGAGGTTTGGTTTGTTTTGACAGACTAATTTGCCCTGACCAACACACTCGTGGCTGACTGGCGAATTGTTGTTATATGAGGCGGTCCAGATCCAGATTCGAATTCCACAAAGGATGCTTCTGAGAGGCTGAGGCGAGATCACAATTGTAAGCTGGACAGAATGAAAAAACTTTGTGGGTCGTAAACTCCATCCAAATCACATTTTGAATAATGAGATTATCGAGTAAGCAAACATGTATTTGCCAGTGCAATTAAAAATAAACAACTTTGCCGACTGCATGCTTGCATATAAGAAGAGTGAGTGGTTTTCGATTAATTGCTATGGCGACATTGATTATGAAAGTAGTGAACAAGGAGATCCGTAGATTGATCTCACCAAAAAACAAACGTCTGGTCCCCTTTATTTTGCAGTCGTTTATCTTTACCTCAACTTCATTTAGGGTGAAACAACAAATAGGTTTGCTTATTTGGCAAACCCACTACAAAAAATTCGATTTGGATGAGGCCTAGCTTGCTCCGTAACCCACTAACATCGGCGACTGCGTAGTGGAGTGATGATATCTCCACTACACTCATGGTCCAGTCTATAATTCCGTGGGGATTGCTTGTGAGACGAGTTCAAGCAAGGCCGAAACTACAGTTGAGCCTGGATTAGATAGCCATGGGGCATATATATTTGATTGTGGAAAAACCCAAATGTCAGTCTGTATGCCACCTTGAATGACTCAGACACTATTGTGATTAACTCGCGAAACCCACTTGCACCGAAAATTCCCATCTAATTGTTTGAAGACTCAACTATCAGTCCTTTAAACAACTTTAACGGCCTCGACTGATTCAAGTTCTTTTTCATGAGTCACCGATGGCCCAAGAACAATTTACTTAGAAAGTAAATGTCGCGGCAGTGACGACGACACGGCAAAATAGACTATAATCATAGTCTGATACTGTACCCAGATTAATTGCATCATGTATTCTAAAAGCAGGACTACTCTGTGGATTGGATTAACTTTTCGACTTCAACCGAACCCCTTCTATCCCTTGGCGAGGCTCTAAGCGTGGACTTGTAGGCTAGGCAGTGCAATCTCATGACCACGGTCACAGGCTGTAGAGGCACTAGGTAATTAAGCATGAGATTACAATAGCACCGACTTGTTAATAACAGGTCCATCACGCACGAACAACTCGTGAACTTGCTGAAAGTAGACAGGACCAAGCCGATATGGAAATAACCGATCGAACAGTAAGGCCTTAGACCAGCCCTGGGGAGGAAAGATAAAACGCACCAGTGGACCTGCTAGCGGCATCTGATTGGGCAATTCGATTGGATCAATAAGTTAATGACAGGCCATCCAATCAGAAAGCTAGCTGGCTGTTGATTTGTCTTGTCTTTCGGTGTATTGTCCATCCTGTAATCCGCCATTCCGTGGCCTGTCTGAGTCAGAGCCTGACTTTCTCCCAGCCGAGCCAGTGGGAGGGGGCCTACAGTGCGTCCGATCCGTCCTGGCGAAGCTAGGTGTAGCCGTCGCACCGGAAGGATGCCGCAGCCCAACAAGCCTTCGTCCAAAGGGAGGCACTTCGTTTTGTTGAATGAGCGGGTCGTCTTTCTACGTCTTCTCTTTCGCTGGAAGGGTTCGATCTGGCGCCTCCTTCTGGGCGACCTGGTCTTCTTCATCATCAGCTACTTTCTCGTCACGATGGCCTACAGGTATGTGCTCATCTCCTATCCCAACCTGAAGCTGGGCTTCGAGGGTTTCGTCAGCTACATGGACAAGATCGCCAACTTGGTGCCCGTGTCCTTCTTGCTGGGCTTTTTCGTATCCACCATCCTCACTCGTTGGTGGGCCTTCGTTCGCTCCATTCCCGGTATGACATCGCCCGCCTTTCTGGTGCACGCCTTTGTCGGAGGGGAAGAACAGGAAGTTGACAGTACCGGTTTTCGTATCCGACGCACTCTGATGCGCTACATGAACCTAGCTTGGATCCTGGCCATGATCAAGCTGAGTTGGTCGATACGAAACCGCTTCCTGCTGCGTCACTTTCCAGAGTCACGTCTGATGGAGAAAGGTAAGAGACACCAGAAATCTGCTGAGGACAGGCGGGCATTCAAACTGTGTATCTGTGCCTCGAACAAACAGCCCAAGGGCAAAGTGAGGACAGCCCAGATCATTCAAGTTATCAACGAAGACTCGTCTATAAAAAAGTTCTTCGGACAGATAATCACACAGGAGGAGGCCGAAATCTTTCTTGAAATCGAAAGGGAAGAAGGTGAGAAGTATGCATGTCTCGGCGACATCACAGCCAATAACGCTTTTTTTGACTGTTAATCTGCACTCGTCACAATTCCATAATCAGCCACTTAGAGACTGTGCGTAAGCTCCACTTGACTAGAGAATAGCTTCAATGGCTTTATAGTTCTGTGCAATTATGGGAAGTGGTGTAGTCTAATGACTTCCTTTTGGGGACCATTTCTCACTTGGCCCCTTAGAAATAAAGATTAAGCCACGTTTGCAGTTCAATTTCGCCGGCCGGCAGACATTTGTTTATTGCAATATTTGATTTGACCGATCAATAGTCGACTTTCGTTTGTTCCGGATGGTTGGAGGGACTTTCATTTCGTATGGGCTTCGTCCGCATTTCATTGGTGGGTTAAAACGCAAGAAATCAACTGAACACTGCCTTTTCAACTCGAGACCAATTCGGCCGTTTACGATAAGTAAAAGGCCTTGGGATTTCATTCATTCTAACTTAGTCTCACCTTCCAGAGCACACCTTAGCAGAGCTGAGCTACAGCTTCGACACCGCCTGAATTGCACAAGCTCTCCAACGCTACTTGAGGTCGGGTCATCGAGTCAACCAGAATAGGTACTGCAGTTCAGCCTGAATGAGAATAGGTGAAACTCGGTGACATCATCATCACCCTTGGCGGCCTAATGCGCCTCGAGTTAGTATAAATAGAGCTAGTGATAGAGTTTCTAGAACTACAGTCGGTCTCATTTTTTCATGTTCCTCTTTTAATTTTTCGATGGTGATAACCTGGACAAGATGATGAGATTAAAACTCCAGTCACTACAGGCTGCATGTATTGAAGAACTAATAGTTTTTATTCAGGATCGACTGGTAGTATCAAAATCTACTCAATATGAATACAAGTAACACGTCCAATTATAATGGCAAATCCAAGTTTGCCTCATCGACACCCCTACCGAAAATGCGACATTTAATTATAGAGTTCTGCCGACGAAACATCTGTGAATTTAGCAAGTTTACGGCCCGACGCGGACCAACCATACCAGAGGACGTCGTACAACTAATCAAACTATTCGATAAAATGAGGAAGTTTGTCTCCGGCAGATCGTGATCAACAGATTTGTCGGAAGAATCAAGCAGTGATAATCTCATTTTTTTTACTTGGCCACATCGAAAATATAAGGCTACAATCGATCATATTTCGTCCTCCCCTCGTGCACTTTGGTTGGCAAAAACGCTCTCTTCAACCCACTGCCTCACCAAGCCTCAGACACTCTTAGTTATTTTGTCTAGGCTGGCAGTGTCTGACACATTTGGTTCATATGTAGTTATCGCGCCAACCCTGGAAACAGTGGAAAAAGGGGACGTACAGGGCCTACTGATTATGTCTAGGAGTAACTTGTAGGAGTAAATCATGGCTGCCTGTAGTTGGTTG